GTTCACTAAAGCGCCATGGCAGTCCAGCAGGCCAAGAGTTGCTGAGGAAAAACCAGGAGAGGTGAATTGGGGATCTACGGATAGGCCAGTGTGTCATTACTGCAAGAAAAGAGGTCATATTGTTGCGAATTGTTATGCTTTGCGGGATGAGGAGAAGCCTGTAAAGACGGTCGCTTTGGTGAGTACTTCAAAGCCAGGGTCTCTCAAATCTGAACTGGAAGTTTTTGCTCCGTTTCTCATGGAGGGAATGGTGTCTTTACCAGGGAAGAACAACAGGGTTCCAGTGACCATTTTGAGGGATACAGCAGCTTCGCAATCCTTTATGATAAGGGGGGTGTTGCCCCTCTCTGAGGAGTCTGCTGTGGGTTCAGGTGTTCTTGTGAGGGGGTTTGGTATGCAGTGTGTGGGTTCGCCATTGCATAATATTCATCTTGAGTCAGATCTGGTCACAGGTCCGGTAACTGTCGGGGTTCAGCCATGTCTTCCCATTGAAGGGGTAGATTTGGTCTTGGGGAATGATTTAGCCGGTGGCAGAGTGCTCGTTAAGCCGGGAGTGAATGCGGTGGCAGTCACCCGCGACAGTTTTACGGCTACGGGATTGGACAGACCGGTCAGGGATCCTCCATCATGGCGTGAGGGTGGGAAATCAGGTACGATAAGCCCTGGGGCTGTTCATAACCCTGTCGCTGCCTGTGTGGAGCCCCTGTCCAGTGCTAAAAGTGACACCCCTGTCACCTCGGAGGCCCCGATCGCTGCGGAGACTCTGGCCAATATGGAGTCTCATTTGGCACACTTGCCTGATGCGCAGCGTGCAGACGTATGGGAGCTGATCGTGAGGTGGAGCGCCCTGTGTCGTACCGCTCCGGGAAATTCAATCCCCACCAGCGGGTGTGTTCCACCATTGGTTCCACAGTCGAAAAGGAGGCACTGGCTATGGTTCTGGCTTTGAACCATGTTGAGGTATACGTGGGGTCATCAAACATTCCTGTCACTATTTTCACCGATCACAACCCCCTTGTGTTTCTGCAGAGAATGCGTAACACAAATCATAGGTTGATGCGGTGGAGTATTTTCATGCAAGCCTTCAATGTTGAGGTCAAACACATTCGTGGCAAGGATAATGTGTTGGCTGATGCATTGTCGCGCTTATAATATAGCAGTTATTGTGTGTTGTTAACCTGTCTGGTGTGTGGAATGAGTGGTGGTGAGCACGTCTGTCAACTAAGGTTGATTGTTGTGATTGTTTTGTTTAAAAAAAAATTTAAAAATTTAAAATCACTAACTCATGGTGGGGGTGTTACTTACTCCCCCCCTTTTTGTTGTCCTCTTTGTTCTCTCTGCTGTGCAGGTACACCTGGCTCCGCCTTCCCCAGGTGTTCCCAGTTGTCACTCAGCCGAGCTTGGCCCAGGTATTCCCAGTTGCCAATCAGCCGAACATAAAAGAGGAGGCTGAAGGAGAAGGAGGAAGCCGATCACTACTCCGGATGTCTCTGCTGTGGCAGAGCTCTTTTGCTTTTTGTTGTGTTTCCTGGAGGACGTGTTAAAGTTAGGTTTTTGCGGCTTTATTTCTCCCGTTAGGTTGTGTGTGATTTTGGGTAGCGGAGGAAGGCTCTGGATCCTACGGCCCGTGGTGTGGTTGGCCCAAGTCCCCTCCGTCTTTTGTTTGTTTTACCTGTCCTCCAGTGTAGGTTTTATGATTGTGGCAATAAATGTACGATCACTGTTTAGTGCCTACGTGTTGTGTATTTTTGTTTTATGTTGCGGACTGCCTCACGAGCCACTACTATTAAGTAGGGAGGCGGGTTGTAACAGGGGACATCTTACTTCTTCCTTCTCTCTGTCTATACCTGTGTACTCTCATGTTCCGATTAACCCAGCTTCCCCAAATTTCTTTCTTTTTGGTGTCTATATACGCCGGGATCCAGAGTCATGGATGATCCTGCGGTCCTGTGTCCTGCATCGCGAGCCCTGGATCTTGAGTCGTGGCTGTGGTCCTGGATCATAGGTCCTGGATGGATATCCTTGTGGATTCATCTTCCTATTATAGACACATGCATTTCCAAACATTTGGACTACCTATGTTGCAAATGTATTATCTTTTCAATTTACACACAGCATCTATTGCACGTCTGTCCGTCCTGGGAGAGGGATCCCTCCTCTGTTGCTCTCCCTGAGGTTTCTCCCATTTTTCCCTTTAAACTGTGGGTTTTCTTCGGAAGTTTTTCCTTGTACGATGTGAGGGTCTAAGGACAGAGGGTGTCGTATTGTCATACTGATATTCTGTACAAACTGTAAAGTCCACTGAGACAAATGTAACATTTGTGATATTGGGCTATATAAATAAACATTGATTGATTGATTCTAGCAGTTACTGGATATATTGTGGCCGAATCAACATGATAAGCCCACAATTAGTCCCTTTTTCCAGTTTAGAGCAATAGCCCCTCCAAATGTCTGTGCACGTCCCTGATGTCCTGTAACATTTCTCTGTGAGAACGAGAACTCATTTAAAGAATTTGGAAACTGCTGTGTATAGGATTCAAAGTTCCCTCTGGGGCGAGCGCCAATTCATCGCTCAGGGGGAACAAAGAGCAGATTAGATGAGACATTTAAGGTGTCCTCCTATTTCCTTGATGAATTTCTTTAACGGGCGCATTATATAACTTCCCAAAACTCACCTTTCTCCGTTTTGGCTGCCAGAAACCAGTGGGATGGAGCTGCACAACTAATCAGACGAGTAGATCAAAGTTATTGTGTCCATTTAATCCATAAAAAGGGAGACATCGATACTCAGATGCCAATATGACAGATGCAACAGCAGAGCACTGTTTGATGGTTTCAAAGAGAAAGGTCTGGGGGGATTTAGTATTCATTATCTGGAAGACATTTCATATTTCTGAAAGGCCTTTGCCTTTGTTTAATAGTTTTTTTAATCGGTAATGCTCTGTGCACTTTAATCATAACCAAAAGGAACTTCCATCAATTACACAAGATCTCTGGCAGGCTTATCTGTTCTGAGGATAAGAAAAAGTATCGGTCCATGGAAAGACATTTTTTGTAATGAAAATACAAATAATGTGATCCGAAAAAAGCACTAAACTCTGACGCATTTATTTTGTAAAATGCTTATATCTATATATTAATATTAATAATAATTGCTTACTTTCATTAATGGAAAATCTTGGAAAATCACAAACTCTTATTTGTTTGTTGTTTCTCAACAAGATATGACATTATTTTGTTGTTTTTGCCCAGAGCAGGAACCACACAAATAGGCTATTGGGATCCACGCAATGTTTGATATATTGTAACAAAATGATATTCAGAAATTAGAACTTTCTCATTTCATTTTCTGTAGAAGCACTTTTTGAAGTCCAATTCTGATTTCTGGTTTGTAAATTCATCATCAGATAAAGGGTAAGAATAAAGTCAGTGATTCCTTGGAAGAGATTTATCTCTGAATAATATACATAAAACGCTCTTTATCTTTAGGCCTGAAAACCCTCTTTATACTTTCAGAGCTTCTTTATCCATTCTCCAAAGTCTTATCTTTTGTTCCTCCCCTGACTCAGGCTTTGCCTCATACTCCATTCAGTGGTGCAGTGATCAACTCTGCAGTGCAGGCGCAACTGTCAAACAAAACGTAGCATAAGACACAAACGCTGAACAAAGAAAACCTTACTTGGCTCCAACCACTCCACTCCATTATACAACAAGATCTGTCAAGTTACTTTACATTTTCAGGCAGCAAACGGAGACATTTTCTGTGACTATTAGGCAGCAAAAACAAACAATTCAGTCCTAGTTAGAACACGTCTTTGTGTGAAGAGTGGTTTGTAGAAGGGAAACATTTTCTGTTGATAAGACACACATTCTCAAGGGGAAGTGAAAACCTTAGGTTCTGACCAGGTGGGTGACAAAATATACTTTCTGGAAGAAGTCAAGCTCATGGCTAAGTTTGACCCAGTTCTGAAAGGGCACTATCAGAATGAGCTAAGTAAGTCCCCAAGAGGGCGGATTTTCCATAACATGACATATCAGAATTTAAACATTGAGTTATTATTTGAAATGGAATGCAAGATCTCAGAAGCAACTAGATTATGATGCTGAGGTAAAACAGAAATAAGGTAAAGTAGTAAAAAGGCTTGGATGTCAGAGAGAAAGCTACCAATGGTGCATCAACATTGTTTCATGCAGATATAAAGGTTTCTTCTCTTGGCCTGAACTTCCAAAAGGCAAGGATAGCTCTAGGGTGCATGTCCTTTAACATACTAAATAAAGACCTGACCTATTATTGACCTATTTATTGAAACACTAGTGTTTCAAATGCACATTAAAGCAGTTATTTGTTGTACTGTAACTACGTGTCAATTTCCTAAAAAAAAATGTAAAAAACAGATACACATCTCTGATTATTTACAACAAAGCTGCATGGAAATGAATCCTCAGATGAGTCCTTGAAATCCAGCCACAGTCAGAATTTTAGACTCATCATGACACCCCCACACATGCATTGCAGGCATTACAAACAAAAGCCAAACCCAACATCTATATATGTGTGTGTGCAAAGATATATACTGGATAAAGGATGTGACTTTAGTCCTAGAGTAAACAGTACAGGTGCACCCTCCTCCAGTTTGGATAGCACCCTCCATAAATGATTCAGGGTGTCACCAGATAAGCAGGGGCAGCCTCATTACCAGACCAAAGGACTTGTTGCAACTTCAAGGTCACTTGTTGCTGCGAGTAATTTGCGTCTCACGTTATACGCGCTGCAGGATCGAGTGTCTGTGCTGGCAAAACCACAATCCTTTCATATCATTTGGACACATTCCTTTACAGTTATAATGCATTTAGACACACAGATATTCTTTTGTATCCTTTTAAATTGATGCCGTTATGAACGCATGCCAAAAGCATCATAACTATCAAACAGTAAAGCCTCAAACTATGGTGTATTTTCCTGCACAAAGACTTTAACATAATAATCCATTCCTCACCATGAGTATTGAGGAGGAAGGACGGCGTCTCAGATAAGCTGGCGGGGGGGTTCTGCAGGAAAACTCGGAGACGGGACATCGTGGGGAGAGCATGCTAGCTGCCACTGTGGAAGAGATGGTTTCATCAGCTACTGAGATGAGGACTAGAAACTTGATGCCTGTGTGTGTGTGTGTGTGTGTGTGTGTGTGTGTGTGTGGGTGTGTGTGTGTGTGTGTGTGTGTGTGTGTGTGTGTGTGTGTGTGTGTGTGTGTGTGTGTGTGTGTGTGTGTGTGTGTGTGTGTATATAAAGAAACAAAGTGGTAGTACAAGAAAAATAGATTTGAAATCATGAAATGCTAAGAAGTGTCTCTATATGTTGCTGCAGTTATAATTCATGGTTAAGCCCGCGGAAGGATGGTCAACACTAAATGACAATATTTACAGCTAACATGCATGTTTTTAGTTTTCTCATATTCACAATTGGCACAAAAGACGACAGTTTCACGGTCATTCTACATACTGCATCACTGAAAATGTCACAAGCTTCCTCATTCACACACGTTATGTAGCCTCTGGCCATGGTTTTATAATGATCTTCCCTGTACTAAATGTAGCTTGTAAAGGGCAAAGAGTAATACTAAAATTACTAGATTAAATACAGTTGGCTATATTTTGAGTGGCACCACATATCAAATCAAAGTTTATTTATAAAGCATATTTATAAAGCATATTTATAAAGCACATTTATAAAGCACATTTAAAAGCGATTTTTGGTCGGCCAAAGTGCTGTACATGTAATAAATACCACAATCACAATAAAAGACAATAAATTACAACAGATATATAAAAAACACAGGGAAAAGTCAGGAGTCGTGCTCCGCTCTGACATAGCACCACATATACATACAAATAAATTGCAGGGTTCATCTGAACATACACTACCTCTGTCTAATCTGCCTGTTTATTGTTACTAATCATCCACCTACTGGTGACAGATGGCTTTGAATTTGCAGTCGAACAATATTGTTACAGCAAAGACTGTTTTCTATTAAAATACAGCCATTTCCTGGTTTCATATGGGCTTGTTTGTTTTTTACATTTGAAGCTGACCAAAGCCAATATGGGCTACGTTCATTGTACTCCCAGTCCCTACAACTGCCAGCTTTTAGATGGATTTTCAGTCAATTGACAAATGTTGACAGACAAAAGTGTGAGAGCACAAGGTTAGCTTTACAATGCCTGCTCAGTTTCAAAGGATTGATCTGGTGGTTCCCATAAAGTCTTTTACCATTTACTTTATTGGTTGTTCTCACGATAAGAGTACCTTCCAGAAAAATGATCATAAAACATCTTCTTTTCTTGAATATGAAAGATATGTTTGTCATTCATTCAAAAAAAATGTGGATTTTTGGTAGAAAATATGTCATAGTAACAAGGAAAATATAATATTAACAAAAACTGTCACATCTGCGTCCAGAGCAACAACAAAGATAAGAGACAAAAACATGTTTTTTTTTTATAGACAGATTAAATCATCAGTGCAGATTGAACATTGTTGTGGTTGTGGCAATAATCCAGATTATTTCACAGTAAGATTTAACACACCTCAGGGTGAAATGTGACACAGCAGTGATCACAACAGCACATTATGCTGACATCCTGCCCAGCGGCAGTGTACCAGTAACCCGGGGATGAACCTTTCTGCCAATCCTGATTACCAAATGGCTCACCCACCAAGAATCAAGTTTATTGAGGGGGATGAAATAAAACCCATGTCGAAATGCGTGCAGTTTACAACACTATGTCCAAATTAAAATCAGCAAGTATTGTACACACAGAATGCTAACAAAAATAGCATGCACTCAGATAACCTATTTTGGGCTCAGAAAGAATATAATTATCTTTTTTTGTAGTCTCTAGTCCCCTCCTCGGGACTTTAAAAAGTCACAATCCTTTTCCATCTTCCTCTCATTCTGTCCCTCCACAAAAAGTCCCTGATTCATTTGGGTCTTATCAGTTATAGCGAAGGGAAAACAAAAGAGTTTACTGGAACTCAGAAGCGGCTTCCCTAAAGGGGAAACTGGGCAGATAAAGCTATGTTGGCATGGCACGGTCTGTGTTAGCAGGGCCGGCCCTCGGCATAGGCAGTATAGGTGAATGCTAAGGGCGCATCAACCCATAGGGGGCGCCGAAAATTGGGGAGAAAAAAAAAAAAAGTTAGAAATTAAAAAAAAATAATAAATTTAATTTCATAACACAATTTTCCGATTTTGAATCAACAAAGTACATCTTATTATCTTATACTAACAGAACTACGCCTATATTGCGTACAGCGCCCATAAACTATGGCACACACACACCCCCCAAAAAAATCAAGTTGAACTGCCCCAGCCCCAGTAAAAACCAGAGGTTTATGTGAAATTGTTCTTTTTTTGAAATAATGGTAGTGTGCAATTATAGGTTTTAATTTTATATTTGTGTTAATTTAAAATAAATCAAACTCCCAAAAAACGTACACAGCTTCTGTGTGCTTTTATTAACATTGGAATTTACTGTGTAAGCGGCCGCGGGGGGGGGGGGGGGGGGGGGGGGAGCTTTAGAGAGCTCTCTCCTGAAAGACTGAGAGGCTCTGATAACCTCAGCTCAGTGAGGTAAAGGCACACCTTTATATGATCATTATAGTTATACAAAAATAAGAGAATAGGTGAAAAACAGGTATAAAATACTATGACAGTACAAAAAAGTTGTTATTAATAAACAAGAATACAGTTTGAAAGGGGAGTGATTTGTAAAATATCCATAAAGAAAAAGAAAATCTACTTCCAGTTCTGTTTCATATGGGTGTTGAGAGATGTATCCATAGATTTCCTAATGTTGCTCTCAAAGTGCACCAGATTGATGCTTTTAAAGGTGACGTGTCATGCTTTTCCGGTTATTACCCGTCCCCTTGTGTGTTATGAAGGTTTTTATGCATGTAAATGGTCTGCAGAGTCAAAACCCTCAAAGTACACCATGTAGCGAGTAAACTCTAACACAGAAAATACCTCCCAAAAACGCCTCGTTGGAGATACGTCACTGTCCATTTGATTCTTCCGGGTACATTATGATGTCATGTCGTCCCCGGAACGAAATGGACCAATCCGTGGAGCCGTTACGTTACGTCCGCGGAGCCGTTACGTTAAGCCCCCGCTGATTGGTCCAAATTGACCAATCCACGGACTTCCTCACACACTCAGTGCATGCAGCTCTGCTGATTTCTCCTCCCTGGCTGCAGGCTGATAACAGACAGTTGGGATCGCGGCGAAATTCTCTCTGCAGACCCATTCTCACAGCGTTTATCAACCTTTTTCTTACTCAATATCAAGCCACACTTATTGTTTTTACTTCGGCTGTGACTTTGTGTGTGCTCAGGGTGAGTTTGGCTGTGTTTCGCTGTGTATCGCGATTCACAACGTCCCGACTGGTCCCGACCAATCGGAGCACACTGTGCTCTAGGGCTGTGCAATTAATCGTATTTTAATCGCGATTACGATTATGGCTTGCGACGATTATGAAAACAGCATAATTGACAAAATACGATTATTTTGCTGGGTGCGCTTCACCCCTCCCTTAAAGCCCACTCGGCCACGTGGGAGTGACATGTGTTGTGAGTGTTCAGCGCGAGCGAAGATGTCAGAACAAGAGCAGCAACTCGTTAAAAAGAAGGGTCAAACTATTTCCACTATTTGCAAGTACTTTGGCTTTCAGGAGTCCGACGTGGAGCAAAATAAAGTACAGTGCAGGATTTGTTACCAGGTTGTGTTGGCACCACACGCTAACACAACCAATATCTTTAATCATCTGAAATACAACCACAAAGTGCAATACGACCGAGCAGTAATACAACAAAAAGCAGATGCCGCTCGACTTCATCCACCACATCATCACAGTCATCGATTCAGGACGCATTGTACAGAGCAACGGCCTACGCGACGAGCTCGCAGAGACACAGAGATATTACAGGTGCCATTACATTTCACATAGCTAAAGATATGTGCCCAGTTAGCACTGTTAGCAACCAGGGCTTTAAGCAACTTGTCAACACGTTGGACAAGCGTTACGCGATGCCGTCTCGGTATTATTTCAGCAGGTCTGCGCTGCCTGCCCTATATGACAAATGCCGTGGGGAAGTTGAGAGAGATGTGGCTTCAGCTGACTACTTTGCGACCACAACAGACCTATGGTCTAGCCCAGGGGTGCCCAACCAGTCGATCGCGAGATGTGTCTAAAAATAGAACAACAATATTCTGTTTTATGTCCTGTAACATAATCTTCCTGTGCCAGAATAATGCACTTGAACGCATCAAAGCTTTGTGATTGGCCGGCGTCACCCCATGTGTCGGGGCGTGGCTGAGGGTCTTCAGTACAGGTGGCAATATCGTCACCTGCCTGCGCTCATCTCTGAAACCAGACCATGTAAACAGCCTGGTGTTTCTTGCAAAAAATCTTTAAGAGATGACATGAGCAGCCCTACCAGCATTTGCCATGGTGGCCAAAACATTTTTATTTGGTCTTAAATTGTAGTTCAACATTTATTTCCTGTTACTTCTGGACAATGACGGTTGGCCAGCCTTCAACGTTTAACTGAGTGGAATATGTTGAATATGTTTTACCAAAATGTTGGCTATATGTTAAGGAGTTTTCAGTAGGTTGTGACAGTGCACTGCATCATATTTGATTTCATTTATTTTGGTCTAATTTATTTTTATTTATCATATTAATAATATATGTTTAGTATGGTTTTGGAAGTGCACTCCAACATATTTGTTGATCTGGTTTATTGGTAAAATATTATTTGTTTTAAAGTTCAATAAATGGTCAATGAATAATCGTCAAAATAATCGTGATATCAATTATTGACCCAAATAATCGTGATTATGATTTTTGCCATAATCGCACAGCCCTACTGTGCTCACAGGGAGGGGGGGGGGGGCAAGAGCTGCAACGAGCCGTTTAGTGGAGAGAGTGAATACTGCTGAATACACATACTTTACAGAGATGCTGTATGCGGGGGGGGGAGCCAGCTTTACAGGGCCAGCCCTGTGTGTTAGGAGACGTAACTCAATTTACGTCAGTCCCCCACTTAGATACAAAATACACAAGTGCTTAGGACTTTTTAACAGAAGGAAAGACCCTTTGATACTTGACTAAGTACTAAAAAAAAGAAAATCTTGACAAAAGATTTACTCGTATATTTGAATGTACGGGCCAAACTCAGAGACATCCGGTTATGCACAAACATGACTATTTATCAAACATCTCATTGTGTGAATATTTTGTAAAAGTTCCAACCCAGGTATCAACCCTACAATATGGTCGTATTATCAATATTGTGGTAGTTGGTAAAAAAAAAACTATATTGTGATTGTGAATTTTTTTCATGAAAAGGGCGCATTTAATCAGGATGTACAGGAACCTTGTATTTATAATTTTACCTTCAATTAAATAATTAAAAATCAAGAATACAAATCTTTACATCAACTATTCCTAAATTCCTTCGGATTCAGGCATTATAAGTTAACATTAGGTACAATTTGTACAAGGCAGACAAGTGTGAGGAAGGGGCAATAAGAGATGCACCTGGAAGAGGAAGGAAGAGGGAGACTTAATTAAGATAGTAGAGATAAATAGAAAAGAGCAGGACATGTTGCTCGAAGAGATGAGTTTTCCGTTTGTGCCGGGAGATCGGGGATGACTTTGCCATTTTTACTGGGGGTGAATTGTTGAAGTAGAAGAGAGGAGGATGTGTGCAGAGATGTCCAGATTGCCACAGGGGACAGCGGAGCACCTGCTGGCTGCACACAGCTGTGGCTGCTTCGTCAATTAAGAGAGAGGCACACTATATAGGTCTATTGAATACACAAACATGTAACAGATCAGGCTGTGAGGCACCGACAGGCTACATTCAGAACAAATTCTTAATGAAAGATGACATCAAAATGAAGAAGATACCGTTCAATAATATTATTTTAATCTCATCATCCGAGCTGCCCCATTAATTCCAGGTTTACATATTGCATTAATAAACAGCAGTCCTGATCTAATGGCTAAATATTAATCACAACATGCAACTTGTCAGTCTAATTTGTAGACTGAAAGTTCTTAAAGTGACTTCAAGGAAATGATAGAATCTGAATGATGATAATGGAATTAGCAGAATTGTTATCAGTATTGTTTTCTTTATAGCTACACTAGAAGATGTTCATGTAAGTGCAGAGTAACTCGCCTATTCAACACAAATCTTACCCATGTGAAGGTGACTATTGCAGTCGGTTAAAAAGGTAAAGAGGACAAATCCCAATCAAAGATGGTTGTGATTTCTAATTTTAGATATGAACCATATAGACTCACATGTTGAGGTATTCATTATGCTCTCTTTAATTCATTGTAAAAGGAGATAAAATATTGTCTACAGAGGTCTTAACTGATCCAGATGTGTTCCTTCTGCTTCCACTGTATCTGAAACACTGCTGACTGTGCAGGAAGCTTTGTGTTTCAATTAGTCTGAGACTCAATGTATATTCCAATTAAATACAATCTTTATCATCCACATCCCGTGGACATCACTCAGTGTAGCTCTCTTTTGTCTGCCATAATACTACCTTTTTTATACAGTAGTATAAATAAATCGAAGACAAATTAAATGGATTTAAGAAAATGCATTTTGTATTGAGCCAAAGAGAAAACCAGCTCCTCACACTAAAGAATATTGTTTCATTGTGGTTATATGTGTGTTGATAACATGCTGTTAAAGACGGTCAAGTTAGTTCAGTCAATTATAAAGTATTTTATATTTTTGTCCACATGCCAATATATTGACACAAGAAATTGGCACAAGAAATAGCTGAAACAACTGATTTATACCATAAACCAGGAATGGGCAAATGGCGGCCCGCGGGCCGCATGAGGCCCCCACCTCCTCTTTTTGCGGCCCTCAGATTAATTTATAAACAACGTAATTAATTTTTAAAAAATGTAAATGTTTTTTTAAAATATATTTTTTATTTGTTTTACTTGTAGTACTGATACCGTCCACTAGACTCCTAGTTACGTCGCGAGCTGCGTACATGATTTCAAATACCGCAAAATAATCTGTGACGCATTTGTGTGTATTGTGTTTGTTTCCCGGGGAAACCCTCACAAGAAACACCGGCTGTTGTTATGCCTGCTGTGACGTTAAGTTGCCTCTTGTAATTATGCCTTTAAAAGCTTAAAAGTTGTATTTATCATCTGAATTTGGCGAAACAAGTTTAATATTCTTAAAACCAAGACTTTGTTTATTTGAAATCAGGTGAAAACAAACTGTCACGGACCCTGCCGTGTTATCTATGATTACTACGCTTTTCATTCATAATTTCAGCGGGAGGGAGGGGGAGTGGTGCTGAGGAACAGCAGAGTGCGGGCTGACAGGTGTCTGTGTTGACATTCCCCTTATTGTGGAATAAGGAGAATGCAGAGACTGGCTACAAGTGTTTTAGGTTCAAGTTAGACAACTAATGTCTGGGTTAGTGTTCATGACTTCATGTGTATGTCATCTAATGGTTAATCTCAATACACACACATTTTCCGTGCTTTCCAATAGTTTAAAATAGCTTTATTCCACTGTTTAATAACCTGTTCAATACAAACATGCCACTTGTAAAAATGAAATAACATTTCTGTGAACTGATATTTGTTTAGTGAGCTTATTAGAGGATGTTCCCATTTTTTGGGGATGTTCCCTTTGATTGTAAAATGTCAATGAAGATGTCAGACTTAGTATATTTGTTAATAATTACATACAACACATGGAATTTTTGTGTGTGTGTTCCAAGTGAATCTGCGGCCCCCTGGTGGCCAGTACATCAATGATGTGGCCCCCGCCACCATCAAAGTTGCCCATCCCTGCCATAAACAATCCAAGGCTGTCCAAGTTCCTTTATCCCACATGTGTCAAACTCAAGGCCCGGGGGCCAAATCAGGCCATTGGTTGATTTAATTTCGGCCCGCAGGATCATTTGTATTTACTATTAGATCTGGCCCGCCGGTATATTGCACGCACACCTTCACTCAATCCTGGGGATTTCCTCAGCTCAGAGCTTGACCCCAAACAGCGATGAACTTGCACCCGAGATGAGATGCCAAGTATCTGGCTTGAACTAGCATCACAGCAGCAAACTGAGTTTACATGGATGTTTCCTTCTGCACTCTTTTTCTTGCGACAACAGGGCATGTTTGTTTTTTTTCTTTGAGGGAAATAGTTTTTTTTAAGCTGTTGTGGAAAAATGTAATCATAAGAAATGACTCCGGAAAAGCTGCAGATAGAGCCATAAGAAATGAATGCAACTGATTATTTAATGTGTAATGTTGTTTTTATAGGCAATAATTCAAGCTTTGTTAGTTCCAGTTTTAATATGTGCAATAAGTTAATTTCAATAATTTTGGCCCACTGTGTATTTGAGTTTGACACCCCTGATTTAAGCCATCATTTGAAGATTTGACAAAAAGACGATGGCACAACCTACTGGACATGTTGTGAAACACATTTAAGGTTGATTCTGAAAGCACACTACACACCACAAATTATTATACTGTACCACTTTGAGAAATAACCTCCCTAATAGAAAACTACATGGAGAAAAAATAAATACATTTACTACAAGTAACTGTATTTTAAATGCATCCTATGCATCCATTTTAAATGTTTACTATAAATGTAGTATACATGTATAGCTATAATTAGCTTGCATGTGGTGAGTTGCAAGCTAATTTATGTTGTATACATTGCATTAATGTTTCATGTAGTATAGATCAAATATATTATTGATATATTATGTAACGGCTAAAAATGTATCTCAGGCTTTGTACTATAGGGTGAATGTAAGTACGGTTGGTCCTGCAACATCCACATGTAACCACAAGATGCTGCTAACTCTGCAACGGATCTGCAGACCATTTGTCTATTTTTTTATTTTGAACATACACATTTTACTGGAAATATGGGGTAAGGTCAAATCTGTGTGCCATTTATACATTTAATTTTGAATCGACTGAGATCTGCTTGCAATAACACATAATCCCTCAAACAGGACTGTGAACGCAATATCTATAATTGGTTTGGCATATGCAAACATGAATAAATGTGCTGCTCTACATCTTAAACACAATTGCAATACTGCATACAATACTAAACCCTATCCTTTATTAAGATTGGAGTAGATCTACAGGCAAGTTGTACTCTTAAAGCACGCTTAAGGAGTAGATACAATATAAAAACACCTTTAAAATGTAATTGGAATTAAAACAAAAGTGAAAATGTAGCTTGAAATTTTAAGTATATTTATCTAAATGGCTTTATTTGGGATTGTGGAGGCCAACATGCATGGTTAGTGGTTGTATCATATTAGATATTACTGTTCATTTGGTTGTACAATTAATCTGCTGCAACGTAAAGATGTTTACCTTATTTCCCAAAGCTACAGCTTCTGACGTTTGTGTCATCATACTGACAAGAACCTGCACAAACAAAATACATAGGTGGTCAGACAAATAAAACCACAGTTCGAAAGGCATTTCTAGACTCTTGAGCACAGTGAATACATTTTATCTAAACTCGCTCCCAAAGTAAATGCACTCTTTCCTACTTTGTACTGCAACGTTTGCCCTGCACACCAATTCCCCAGTGTATAAATGGTTTTATATAATCGTATCTTGAACTAAACTAGAAACCAGAAGTGTGTCCTCAATATAATGAATACAAATAAACTTGTATTAATACATTTTATGTTGAAACATAAACTAATGGGTTGGTTCGGAAGTTGTTTTATTTATATAGGCTAATTAGTACGAATTTCAATTTACGGAGATATTTCCCTTTCGACCGCCATCTTTCAACTGATTTAAGCTAGTTAAAACATTAAACTGTGCAGCCAGGGCATGGTTCCAGCTATGAGTTACTGGTATCTTTGAAACTTCATAACACCCACAATTGTTTCCCAATTGTTCAGCTGGGTTTTTTTTATATGTTGTATTTAGGGGAAAGAGAAACAAATTGTAAGCTAGCGTTAGCTCTGTGACTACAATCAATCCTTATTATTGCAAACACGTGTGTCCTTGCTCTGCTGTCACTCATTACTTACCTTTTTACTTTAGTTTTCAGTCAAGCAGGAACTGAAGACACTTTTTTGAGAATGTAAACTGGCAAAGGCTTCTTTTATGCCTCATATTTAGAGTCCACATTAATGTTAAATGCGTGTCAACAATTAGGAACTTTTTCAAAGTCGGGCGGTCGGGTAGAATTGACAGGCTGAGTGAACTGCGCATGCGCTTATGGCAACCATGGCAACTACGTTTGGAAGTTCTGTCTCAATCATGGCAACCAACGTTGCCAGCGTAACATCTGCGTCCTGTCTTAAACGAACAGCTGTGCAATAGTTTAGACTTATATTTAAAATATATTAACACAGTATCATGTAGCAATAATAACCGCTGTATTGACGTAAGAAAGTGGTGCAAAAGGATACGGACTTCAGTTGAATTACACTCTCCCCTTTCCACCCGGAAGGACAGGTCAGTGTGGAGGAAGTAGTTTTCTCTCTTTTAGTTAGCATGTATCGTTAGCAACTTTTCTGTAGGCCTACTTAGCGTGCTCTAAGTGACATTGTCGCTAAATAAAAATACATTTGACCTGCTAACGAGTGTGTTCTACAAACCGCCTTTCTCTAATCCTTTACAAGAGGAACTATTCAAACATATTTTAGTTGTTGCTTCGATCGTAGCTAGATTTCACGTTGCTAATGGCTTCTGTGGATACCATTAGCTTATAGAGAGTTATTTTTATCAGAATAATAAGTACAAAAATCAACAATGATTGTGGCCAAAGCTTGTCATACATTAGCTATTTGTTATCGCACCGGACCAACACTGAATATGTAACAGATGTATCCCTGATCAGAGTAAAACAACAGTAACACCAGGTTAATTCATGTATATTTGACAGCCATGGAGTTTCTCCCAGTACTTGATCCTCTTGATAAACCCAAAGAAGGAATTTGGTAAGTAAATTAATATAATTTCATTGTACTTATCATAGTGATGTAATGAGCAAACCTTTTACCCAATTGTGTTGTTGTCAACAGGTATTCTTTGATACCCAAGGGCAGTGCTCCAGGTGTTAGTGTGGGTCACACATGCACGTTTGTCCCATCTGCAGATGGAGGAAAAGGAAGAATCTTTATTGTAGGGGGAGCCAACCCCAACGGAAGTTTCTCACATTCGCATATCATAAATCTAGGTAGAAACTGTCAGCAAACAACCGATCCAGACATATGATGCTTAACTGTGTTTTTAAACTGTTCACCAAAAATGTGTAAAGAAATATATTATGGAAGTAGTTTATATTGCATTCACTGATGGATGATTATGACATTAGGTGAGCTAACACAGCACCCTATTGGTTAAACACATTCATTTGTTATGTACAATGATCATCATTTTTGTTCCTTTTACATTTGTATTCTCGAGCTTTCCTTATGTTTTTGTTCTTTCTGAACTCACCAGATAATCATGAATGGGACATCCCGGAGTGGGAGGGTTTGGAGACGCGTTATGAACACTGCAGCTTTGTGCCAGAGAGCTGCCCTCAGAGCTTGTGGGTGTTTGGAGGGGCACAGCAGAGCGGCAATCGCAATTGTGTCCAGAGCATACAGCTAGCAGGTAAATCCTAATTTTAAATTCACCAAGTAATCTGTCATCTCCATTTGTAGCATTGCACTGTTATTACAGAAACAGGGCTTAGTTCACAGAAAGAGTTACTGATCTACTATATGAAATCAGTTGCTGTATTGTTTGCAAACTCTCTTCATCAAACAAATTCAAAGTGTCCAATGGAAGTAACAAGGCTGTATGTTTTTTCACAGTGTTGTAACCAATGTTGTTTCTGTGACAGACAGTTGGATTGTATAGTATGTGACCAAAGATTTCTCAGTATTTTCCACTTTTTACATGTGTGTCCAGAGAGTGAGTCTCGCTGGAAGAATGTAGAGGTTAATGGCAAACCCCCCGGTCCCAGGACATATCACACTAACTCAGCCTGCCTAGGGGACCGACTATATGTCTGTTCTGGCGGAGAAGCAGGAGCTGCACCTGTCTCAGACCCCAAACTCCATGTCTTTGCTGCAGGTATATGTTTAACTATGTCTAACATCTCTGACACAGATTACATTTTGTTTTGACACTTATTGTATAACCACCCACATAAGGTAATGTTGCTCCAGCCTTTAATGTTACATTGATTTTTCAGTGAATGATCCTGGGCCTAAAATGCTGTCAAAAATACCTTGTGTTAAAATACTATTTTACTTACTATTTATTTACTTTACAGTGACTTTTAAGGAGATATCTTAAGGGATTTTTTTTAGAGGTACAAAAGGAGATATCATTAATTGTGTAAGTAACACCTGTAGAGCTATCTTAATCTGTATATGACATATTTTATCTTTTGGTGTTTCCAGAGTCTTCCACCTGGTCCCAACCAGAAACACAAGGCAAAAACCTGCCGGCCAGACATGGACACATTGTTGCAGCAGTTGGATTAAGGATTTACATTCATGGTGGCATGGCTGGAGACAAATTTCACAATGACATGTACTCTCTTGACACAAGTAAGCCTGAACTCTCCTTAATCATAATAAGAGGATCTAAGTGAATATATTTCCTAGCTGCATTTATCTAAGGATCATACAGGATTACAATGTTGAGCCTCAGAACTTGGGAAGCTTGTTTTGTTTCAGAAAATAAAACTGTGTGTACTGTTTATAGGGAGCATGAAGTGGGAGAAAGTGCAAACCAAAGGAGACATCCCACCAGGAGTAGCAGCCCACTCTACTGTCGTTCTGGGCAAAAACATCTACATTTTTGGGGGCATGACAGCAGATGGCGCCAGCAACTCCATGTACAGATTCAACACTGGTACATCTTTTTCCTAATGCCTGTGACTGAAAAGTGTTACTTCATACTGTACACAACACTGACTGCATAAATAAAGGCTAGGGGGCAGTGTAGTTGTTCCTGTACACCACAGCAACTTATTTTGCATTGGTATAACATTTAAATGTAACAGTGTACCTTGTTTGCAGAAAAATGTAGATGGGTCTTCATGAAGTTTGAAGGGGACATGCCCCCCAACCGCCTGGACCACTCCATGTGTGTATTGCCCTGGAAGGTGTGTGGTGAGGAGGATGGAGATGGGGAGGAGGCCAACAGCCCTGCAGCCTCAGAGACAATAAACCTGGCCTTTGTATTTGGAGGAATGGACACCCAGGGTGTCATTCATAATGACTGTGTTTTGACTGTAGTGACATGATGTAATATTTATTTACCAAATTTGGAATAAAATGTTTGTAAAGAACCACTCGTTGTTGCAGTTATCAGCTGAGCTATGGCTCAAAGCACAGGGCAGTCATTCCTTTACAAATGCTGTTTAAATAATGTGCTTATATTCAATCAAGTAATCTGCATACATTTATGTTGTGTCTCTTCACCAATACAGAACAAAAATACACATCTTATTTTTAGTGGAAATGTACAGCCCCGTTTATTTTTAGGTCTGATAAACTTACTGAACCCCCTGCCAAGCTGTGTTTTAGTAGCCACTGGCAACTACTTGTAAACCATTTAACTCTAGACCAGTTGTATGTTAACCTTACGGAAACATTTTAGTGCAATAATGTATTTGAATCCGACAGTACAGTAATTAGCAAAGCTGTCTTTCATAACTGTATGCAATAAATCAAATACATGAGAAATAGAATATTTCAATTAATTTTCAATATAGGATGTGTCCATTTTGGAAACACTAAAACTGGCTAGAGGTCAATCATTTTTTTATAACCCTCTGTTAATGAAAAAATGTAATTAATTGAAGCATACATATTTTTGCTAAGAAAAAAGTTGGACATTAATGCATTGTTAAATTGAAAAGTGCACAAGCTTGCATGACAAACATGTTTTGATCTTTAAATTATATATGAATGTAAAAAAAATAGACAAATCAAGTATCATTTTGTATCAAACATTTATTTCAATGTCTTTCCTGAAGTACAATGACCAGATTCAATAAATAACTTTTAGTGATGCCTGTGAACATAACAATCTCTTGATCTCACAGACACTGAATGGACCCACAGACACTGAATGGACCCACAGACACTGAATGGACCCACAGACACTGAATGGACCCACAGACACCTGTCCCCACCCCCCCACCCACAACAGAACCCCATCAGGACTGCCTGAGAACAGCAGCAGCTAGCCTCATATCCGGGCTGACGAATATCTCCACCTCACAGCGAAGAGAACACCTTTCTCTGAAACTCATCTTAAAGTCTTTCAGAAAATTCAGAATGGTTGCTTGTTATCGCCACCCCTTCCCAACCATTCCTCTCACTATTGAGTCCCATCAGTCCAATATATACACATCTAGATGTAACTACCAGAGAGGCAAGGGATGGCAGAAGACTTGAATCCTGCCTACAACTCATCCTTCTCCTCTTGCTCACCCTCGGCGCCCTCAGGTGGTGGTGCGCCCGCACTACCGTAAAGCTTGCTGATAATGGGTTGTACCACCTCCTCCAGCTCCTTCTTCTTAGCCTGGAAATCTTCTAGCTCAGCTTCCTGGTGGGACTCCATCCACTCAATCTTCTCCTCCACTGCCTTCTCGATGATTTCCTTATCTTCATCGGACAGCTTGCCGCCAAGCTTCTCTTTGTCGCCGATCTGGTTCTTCAGGGAGTAGGCGTAGCTCTCCAGCTCGTTGCGAGAGTCGATCCTCTCCTTGAGCTTCTTGTCCTCATCAGCGAAGCGCTCGGCCTCGTTCACCATGCGCTCAATATCCTCAGGGGTAAGACGGTTCTGGTCGTTTGTAATTGTGATCTTATTCTTGTTGCCTGTGCCTTTGTCCTCAGCGGTGACACGCAGAATACCGTTGACATCAATCTCAAAGGTGACCTCAATCTGTGGTACACCACGAGGGGCAGGGGGGATGCCAGTCAGGTCGAAAGTGCCCAACAGATGGTTGTCTTTTGTCAGAGGACGCTCGCCTATGGAGAAAATGGACGATTAAGCTGGAGCAATATTTCATTTTTCTGTCTGCAAAAAATAAAATGACACATGTTCGATTATGTTGGCAAATGTAGTCTTGTCTTACCTTCATAAACTTTGATGGTGACAGTAGGCTGGTTATCAGAGGCTGTAGAGAAGATCTGGGATTTCTTTGTGGGCACCACTGTGTTCCTGGGAATCAGCTTGGTCATTACTCCACCAACAGTCTCAATACCAAGAGTCAGGGGGCACACATCGAGAAGAACCAGATCACCTGCAAGAGAGGAAAATATTTAGTTAACAAAATAAAGTTGGCAAGCTGCAACCGGTCAAATATACACTAGTGTATAATGAAGATTACATACCAGTGTCCTCCTCTCCAGACAGCACTCCAGCCTGCACAGCTGCTCCGTATGCCACAGCCTCGTCAGGGTTGATGCCTCTAGAGGGCTCTTTGCCATTGAAGAACTCCTTCACCAGCTGCTGGATTTTGGGGATACGGGTGGAGCCTCCAACCAGCACAATCTCATCAATGTCGGCCTTCTTCAGGTCAGAGTCTTCCATTACCTTCTGTACAGGCTTCATGGTGGAACGGAACAGGTCCTGGAAAAGTAAAAAAAGCAAGGTTAAAAAAGGTGAACATAAGGTTTTATGAAACGGGTGTGGTTTTATTTTTAGCTTGTATGCAACTGGAATGCAACGTACCATGTTGAGCTCTTCAAACTTGGCACGGGTCAGGGTCTCAGAGAAGTCCTCTCCCTCAAAGAAAGACTCGATCTCAATGCGGGCCTGGTGCTGGGCAGACAGCCCCCTCTTTGCCTTCTCAACCTCACGACGCAGCTTCTGCACAGCACGGTTGTCTTTGCGGACATCTTTGCCAGTCTTCTTCTTGTACAGCTTGATGAAGTGCTCCATGACGCGCTGGTCGAAGTCTTCACCTCCAAGATGAGTGTCACCATTGGTGGCAACCACTTCAAACACACCATTGTCAATGGTCAGAAGGGAGACATCGAAGGTGCCACCGCCCAGATCGAACACCAGAATGTTCTTCTCGCCGTCCTTCTTGTCCAGACCATAAGCGATGGCAGCAGCAGTTCTAAAGA